ATTGTCATTACATAGTAGGGTACATAAGTCATTTAATATAAATTTTGAATGTGGGGTGTATTCAACATTATGTGGGCGTGCTAATAAAAAAAGTCTTTTTTATTATCTTATTTTTTATTTTTAAAATTAGATATGTTAAAATCACATGTAGGTAATGACACACCTCGACCCGGAATGTCCACCTGGACTCCGAATTGAGTTGTGTTGGCCGACACCCAAAGGTAACGAAGCCATAAAGTGTAGCGATGTGGAAGATGTAAATAAATTTAAACCTAAAAGTGCTTAAATGTAAGAATGCGCTTGTAAGCGGGAATGAACCCAATTCATATGTGATGTCAAGGTATAAGTAAAGTATGGTAAAATTAGAATAAGAATTATACCATCGAGAGTAGCTTTCGATATCAGCGTTCGCCATAAATCCTCGTCGACACGAACACTGCCACTAAATCCTGGAGGGGTGAAAAACAAAGGTGAGTGGGCCTGAAAAAAAAAGTTTTGTAGAAATCTTTTCAAAACGTAATAACCTCTCGCCATAAAACAAGTATAGTTTCTAAAATATACATACTACGTATAGTATGAAAATACTTACCGTAGCCTGCAATATCTCAAGGATTCAATACATCACAATATTTCGTAAATAACCATCTAATGTCCGATAATCACATAATCTCGTATCAATAAACATATCATATCGAGTGATCATCGACATATGCTGACACATGAGTTCATGCAGAGATATTCTAACATAAACATGACTGGATGTAATAATGATTTACGTTTTAGTACTACAATCACGTGAAGACTAACGTTATGCGTATCACATAAAAGTCCTAATTGCCTATAGCAATCTAGGACATGATTGGCTCCTACAATGGATCCAAAGTGAGCGTGCGGTGCGATGTGAACATACATGTGAAGCCTAACCTTGGCCCAGGCGAATACTGACACCAGTATAGTATACGATGAGCAGATAACGTAAATAAAATCATACAACGGTAAATCGATAATTCACGTCACCATAATACTATTCACAACCATAAATATAATTAAGACATCAATAATACGCATGCCTGTGCATCCTGTAAGATGTAGCATAATTTCTATCAATGCGCTAAATCTTATAAACATTAAGTCTAGACGTATCGTATGAAATTCCTTATGAAATATATAAATGGTAACTAATAATTATATATATACTATATAAAAATAAAGACCCCTCACACTTACTTGCGTTCGAACTCTAAAAGCCGGAGTCTCCGATAGTAATCGCACCTAAGCATAATGATGGGATGCGTTAGTAAAACTCAACTAAAGTGATTAAATTTGGAGAAACGGATGGCGAATTCGGAATCAATGCGTCGAAATATGCTAAGAAAGGTCCCATGCAAATTTTGTAAAAAGTCAACAAAAAGCCAACGGTCAATCAAAAAGTCAACCAAGACTCCAATTCGGTCAACTATGTTAAATCTTTAGAATTTTCACTAAATGGATGTCAAAAACAGACTCGAGATGTCGAACTTAGCCTAGGAGGGTTTCTGAGAAAATTTCAAAAAAGTCAACTAATGGTTAACAATTAACTTTAACGGAATATTCCATTCTCTAATAGAATATTATGTTAAAGTTAAATGAAAGGTTAATAGAATATTCCCTCCAAATCTGAAATGGACCCGGCCTAAATTTAGACGATTTTTTTTAAGGTGGGTAGATTGTAACAACCCGTTCTTAATTTTTTTATTTTATAAATTTTAAAGGAGTAAATTGATGAAAATGCCCCTAGAGGCTAGATTGTTGACTTTTGTTAACCGTCATTTCGTGACATGTGCGAGCTACTATTTTATCGTATTCTCGATGTACTCACCGGTACGAACGCGTAGGCGCAAGCGGAATCAAAATTGGAGCTATGGCTAAAATTTTACTAACTACGAATGTGAAGGGCATTTTAGTAATTTCATGTTATCAGGAAATATTTTCTGTTTTGTCTTTTAGGTTGCGTTTGTTGCACCGGACTATCTCGGACTGGACTAGCTTCAGGAACTAAGCTGGATTGGCTTAGACTAGACTAAGCTAGACTGACTTAGTGAAGCGTTTGATGCAGTGCCGGATTAAGAAACAGAACTCTAATATTATATTATTAAATCTATATATACAATATTTTATCATTAATTTAATCTAATCTACTAATTTTTTATTATTATTTTATCATTTGGCTAGAATCATCTTCTTCCCTAATTCATTTTTATCTCCGCCCATTGACTCCCTCCCCTCTCCCTTTTTATCTGCCTTTTCTCCCTCTTTTTCTCAGTACTACCATCTTCCCCAAAAAAACAGGAGTGGGAGGTCTCTGGGAGGATAATCCCCTCTATCTGATAGTGATACACAAATCTCACATAGCCTTTTTCTCATCACCTCCAAATGACAACAAAAAAACATTTTAAACAAAACCCATTCATGCAAAACTCAAATCACCCATGCAATATGTGCCTTTTCTGAAAATCACAAGAAAGATGAAAAAAATTCTGACCTGATTGAGCTTCTGCTGAGATGGGCATGGCCGCATGGTTGAGATGCTCTCGCAGAGAAGAGCCGTGCCGTCGAAAATCAAGGTCCAGGAGGACGGATGTGCGATTGACGACCTTGTCTAATCTGGGTTCGAGGTGAATCAGATGACACAGCTTATGGATTCTCCGATTAAGATTCAAATTTAAGGTCTTGTTAGTTTGTGATTCTGGGTTCAAGGTGGGGAGGAAGAGAAAGGACGCGAGAGATGATGGAGCAGGGAGCGAAGTGAGGAGGACAAAGCTAGTTCTTAGCCAGTCCCATGGTATGCGGGGGGTCTCGTTAAGACCGCCTAGCGCGGTCCTTAGTCGAGGCGAGTCCTCTTTTATCCCATTAATATTAATCCTGCAGAGCAATAAACATCAGACTAGACTAATTTTTAATCTAGTCCAGTCCAGTGAAAGCTAAGGAGGTCAAACAAACACCCCCTTATGGCTTTGTTTGTGAGCCAGTGGGGCCCACACCACTCCTCCCTTCACTCCCATGTCTCATTTCTTTCTTGAGCACAACTCAATTAGGAGTTTAGGTGGACATTCCAGGTCGGGGTGTGTCAAGTAAGTCTTAAACCAAAAGTAGCAAAATTTTGTCTCATAAACTACGTTACTACCCATAACTTTTTTGTTGTGATAGAAGATTAAATAGTATTTTTACCTTCTTTTGGTTAACAAAATTTTTTTTATTAATATGTAGTTTAGATAACGCTCAGCATATAAAAGAGTAGCCATGATAACATTGGATAAAATCACATAAGAAAATTGTTGGTAAAGGAAAAATGGTATCACATGCTAGGCTAATAAACATAAAAAATAAAGCAACCTTAAATAGAAAGTATTTACACATTAGAGATACAATTCATTAGTAATCTTGGTCGAACATAGAGCTGGTAAGACGGACTCAACTCATTAACATGACCCAATTCGCTCGCAAAATTTCAACTAATGGGTGGAGACTTAATGGGCTAGGTTAAAAACAAGTCCAACGTCTCGCCTGAAAGAAAGATCTTGACTTTAAAAACTAAAATGTGTAATACAATGCGCAATAACATTAGTCCCACGAAAGATATCAACGATAGTTATTTATGCTTTGTCAATAGTGGTTTCAGGGGAGGTGAGGGTACCTCATCCCAAGCCAAGACATACTACAAATCTCTTTGAGAACTTATAAAGAGGGTCTTATCCTTTGTTTTAATTTTTATAGATAGCGCACGAAAAGAAATTGTCAACAGCGGAACTTGAATCTAGACCTTCATCTGAGGAGGAGATAGATCATTAACAACTTAACTAACCTCCGTTGGCATAAGTGATAGTTCTTTGATTCCTTTGAGAGATGTCTAGAGGGGCTAAAAGTGTGTTATGACAACAAGTACTTATGACTTTGTTAAGCAAAAAAGACTTGAAAGTGTCTAGATCATTGAAACATTTCATGGAAAAGCTCGTCTAAAAAAAAAAAAAAGAACACTTCCGAGTACTTTTTCAAGAAGGAATTTTTTTTGAAATGTCATACGAACTTGTACCCAATTTTCAATTTGTCATGTAAACTAAAATTTTAAGCAATTTGTCATCTCATCTTAACTCCCTTAAGTTTTTCATCCAAAATAAGTCATGTGCAAGGCACATGACTTGTGTTTAGGGTTATTTATGTCATTCTAACATCTCACTTCCTTTTATTAACATCTCAATTCTAGGGTGTTCAATTTAACATGTTGTGAAATCAAATTTTATATTGGTTCTGTAATATGAGAAACGAGTTAAGGTTTGGTGCCCTAATTGAAGTTGTAGATGCATACACGTTGCTCGAACACAATAATCCGCATGAATACCCTCGAGCACAAAATTTAAAGGTTTTACTAAAGAAAATTAAAGAACTTCTAAAGATCTTAAATGACATAAATAATCTTGAACACAAGTCATGTACAAGTTTATATGACATTTCCAAAATTTTCCCTTTCAAAAACCACTTGAATTTATGCTCGAACACAATAATCCGCATGAATACCCTCAAACACAAAATTTAAAGGTTTTACTAAAGAAAATTAAAGAACTTCTAAAGATCTTAAATGACATAAATAATCTTGAACACAAGTCATGTACAAGTTTATATGACATTTCAAAAAATTTCCCTTTCAAAAACCACTTGAATTTTTATAAAAAATTCAACATATTTTTTTTTATTGAAATTCACATAATATTTTTTTTTATTGAAATTCACATAAAATCCAAACCATTTTATTGTGCCAATTGTAGGAATCGAACCGAGGGCACCCCAGAAACCTAAACGTGCATCCGTCCAATAGTCGCTTCCACCATCTAAATCTAGCGCGACATTATCTATATACTAAAACCCGGTGGAAAAGCACTGTTTACCAGCAGTAAAATAGCGGAATTGCCCTCATTCAACTTTCCTTGCCCCGTTGTTTTTCAGTCTTGGCATAGTGAAATTACGCATTTGTCCAAGTTGGCCACGCGTCCATCATCGTCTGAACCTCTACTTCGACTGCAGCTCCTCGATTTTTCCATCCGTTTCCAGTTCTCTCTTTCGCAAATCTCTGCTTCCCTTGCTCTCGACTTGCCTTCTGTCACTCTCAAACGCCGGGTAAGCTATCGACCACCCCCTCTCTACCTTCTTCTTCTTTCGCTTCTCCCTGTGCAAATCTGAGAGACGCCTAGCACAACTGCGTCACTGGGTTATCTCAGTATTAAATTAGTTTTAGTTATTGCTCTTAAACCCTAATCTCTCTCTCGCCTCTCTCTAAAATCCATCTGAAAAAGGTATAATGGGTATTGTTTATGTTTGCAGTTTGTACTCGGCAAAGTCTGTGAAGGACCAATATCGGAGGTATAAATTGGCTGCCCTGAAATTTTTTTATTTAATTAATTTCAACGGGTATCTAAGAATTCTTTGTATGAATAGTGTCTGTGTTGTGTCTCTGAGCATCTTGATTTTTATATTAAATGATCTATGTAGTGTCTGTATATTTCTTATATGATTTCTTTCATTCATTGTTTCCTATATCCGAATTTAAATCTATTTAATTTTTTAAATTGATCTGGGATGTTTAGAAATTGGAGCTCTTCTGGGGTCAGATCCATTTTGATTTGGGGATCTGATGCGAAGAAAATGAAATAAAATTTGGGTTTTGGATTGATGTGGTATTTGGTTTTATTTCCTGTTGTCAGTGCTTACCTGTTTGAGAAAATGTATTAAACATTTTTGGGGGCTTTTTTTAGATTATCTATATGTTTTGAATTTTTTTTGGTTTGTCATGTATAAGAATGTGAAATAGACTATCTGAGGTAATCAATTGGAATTAGTTACTTTTTTGTTTGTTTTTTGTTTTTTGTTTTCCAGATTAGAGATTTTAATAGGTCCTGTAGGGACAAAGGCTCATTTCTCAAAAAAGAGATAATAAATTAAAAGTGGCAGACTACGTGGTGATCATCGGTAGTGTTTCTGTTGTTGAGAGGATTTTACCCTTGTTTCGTTTTCATTCCTCTCTTTGTTCACTTTTTCCTTTCGCTTTTCTGCTTTTCTCTTTCGCCTATTTTTCTTAATTTTGTATTTAGAGGTAGGCCTTTTGTTTGAATTTGGGCTTAGTTGATTTTGAAGGTTTCAAGTTGGTTGGCCTTTTTTGTTTTTAATTTTGTATTTAGAGTTAGGTTTTTTTGTTTGAATTTGGGTTTAGCTCATAAATTGATTCTTTTATTTTTCTTGCAACTTCAAGCGTTGATCTATTGGAAACAAACTTTTATCTATTCCTTGAGTTACGTAGAGCTGTAAATAGATTCAGTTAAGCAAAGTTTAAATATAACTTTCTACGTGTTGTATGCTATTTAAATACCCGCAGCATCGCGCGGGTGCTGATGCTAGTTTTTGCTAATATTTAGGATTTAACTGCTTACATATGCACAGCAGTTGGCACAATACCGAGCGTCAGACCCGTACCCGTCCCCTCCCTCTCCTGTCTCCTTGGGCGAACAGTGTCGCACCTCTGCTCTTCAAATTTACGGCGCCGTGCGGCCACTGGCGAGGTCGCCACCGACTTGGTTCTCCTCCTCGTCGGCCGGCCTTCAAAGGGCAGGTCACCCGCCACCCAGTTGAGCAGATCGAAATCAGGAAGTCTCACACCACCGCCGGTTTCGAGCCCTTTTCCGGACCCTAGGTATAAAAGTTCTTGTTTCCATTTTAAAGCTCCGGACCGTTTCACTCTCTTTCCTTCTCTCTACTCCGCACTGTGTGTGAGCAGATCGTTTTTCAAATTCTCCCTTTCTTCGATTCGATCGTCAAATGTGCTCTGTTGCGATCGTCGTCGACTTTCTCTCTCAGTGGAATCTCTGCTCTTCGCTCTTCCAAGCTCAGTTCGGTAAGTGATTTAGGGTTTTTATGTTCTGTTTTGTATTGATCCCAATATTTTTTTGATTGAATCCAGTGATTGAAGCTTTTCTATCTCAGATTTGAAGTTCTCTGCGAGTTGGGATCGATTGAATATTGAATCTTTTTGATAATTTGTTAGTGTGTGAATGATTATCTGCTGGGTTTTGATAGAATTTTTCATTGATTTTTAGTTAATTTGATTTAGATACAATCAATTTTTACAAATTTACTCGACCCCATTATTCAGTTTGAAATCGAGGACTCGTTGAAGTTGTGTCTTTGTGTGCCAACTTTGATTTTATCTTCGAATTACTAAGCTTTTGCTGAATCAAATCACAATTGAGGTTAGATTATCAATTCTTAATTTGTAGTTTGTTAGTTCTCCCCAGTATTACCATGCTTTTTTTTTTCTTTTTTTTTTTTGTATATATACATATAAGTGATACGTTTAAATGCTTGTAGCTGTATTATTGCGAGTCTTATTCTGATGCGGTAATTGCCATATCAAATTATTCTCATTTGTTTCCCCGTTTCTGATGGGATCATCTGTATACATTTGGTCTGTACCGATCTATCCCAATTCAGGATCATATTATCGTAGTTTGGAAGATAAAAACACCATTAATTTTGGGTTAAAATTAAAGTAATGTTTGTTTCTTTCTCTCTTTTTTTTTTAATTTTTTAAAATTTTTTTTTTTAACTTTGGACTGCAAATAGAACTTAGTTAAATTTATTTGTATCCATTGAACTGAATTTGTTTTTTTTTGTTAGTTTTCTTCCCTTACCTTATTTAAAGACAAGGCTTCTGCTATAATCGAAATGTCGGATTGGGACGATGTTTTTCTTGCGCCTGCTGGTGTCCCTGGTAAGCCATGCATCTAGGACTCGAAAAACTTGTCATATTTTCCATTTGTAATTACTTCAAGAGATCGCCAACTGATTTTCAACTTCTTTTTTTGCAGCTCGTGCTGGTGGCCGATTTCGACCCAAGGCAAAGCCACGGCCTAGCAGGGTAGCATCTACAGCAGCCGCCCCTGCTCTTCCGATTGTCATAACAGAAATACATGTAACATTATCTACCACTGTCTCAGATAGTGTTCCATCTGTTGATGTTGGAGACAGTAAACTAACAGATCAAGTTGGGAGCATAGAGCCATCAGAAAACAATGAGATTCCATTGTCTGATGGCAAGAAGGTCACTGGACCTTGCGAATCAACTGCAGACGTTGCAGGTTCTGATGGAAAAGCATCGGGGGAGGTAAGAGTGTTTACCTATTTCCTGGTTTCATTTTTTTTCATTTCTTTTTGATAAGTTATGATGTTTTCCAGAATGCAGACATATTCTCTGGATTGGAATGTCTTGATGATTCTATCAGTCAAACGACAAGGGGTACAGGTGACTTTTGCAAAATGCAAAATTTTTCTAAACAGTTAAAAATTGCATTAGTACTGTCTGTTGACTGCTGTAAGCACTTGTTCTTCCAGCAGAGTTTGCTGTCAATAAGTCTGGTGATAAGGCTAATACGGGTACCAAACCAGGTGACAAGTTCTTCCCTTCATCTTCTGTTAATCATGATTTATAAATGGCAATTTTCTCAATGGTAAAACTTTGATGATACCACACATTGTTCTGCCAAGTCCTCATCATTTGTGGTGTGTGATGTTGCAGAAGCTGAAACTGGTTCTGATTATTGTACAACCCAAGATCCAATGTCCTGCAGAGAAGTTTCCGTTTCTAACAAACAGGGTGAAATAGAACCTGAGGTAAAGACCTGCACTATCACAGAAAAGTGATTCTTGTTGAGTTATTGATTTTGATTAATTGGGCAGTATAGTGTCAGGTAGATGGGGCTTTCTCTGACTTTGAAGTTCTAGATGTTGGGTCTGATGTCGCCATTTCATCCGGTATGTGCACAATCACTTGAATTTTGTATTTTGGCTACCGTATTGTATGTTGGGTATTCAATTGAATCTGGGTTGATGTAGAACGACATGCTGGCAAACATCAACCCAAGCTCAAAGTGAAAAAAGGAAAGGAGAATATTCATATCCCTTGCTCTGAAGTTGAGCCTAACATGGGTTCACAAGCTGGACATTTGGTACATTTTGAAACTGGTGACATGAATGAGAGCTCGCTTCCTGCCTTCCCTACTAGACATGTCATTGATCACCCGTCTCCAAGGCTTGGTGATTCTAGTACCCTGAATCCAACCCCTGATTCCCAAGTGAATACAGAAAACCTGGCTGAAACTAACCACTCGGATGGTGCCATTTTGGGGGATGCTGTGCATTCAGAAGATGTTGGTGGAACACCTGAAAAAGTGGTAACATTTTTTAACTATAATATTTGTCCATGCATTTCGTATGGGACTGGATATAAAGATTAAATGTGTTAAGATACCTGCTTCTCTTTGTTTTCTGGATTGGGCAGGGTCGTAAGAGTAGAAATAGAAACACTTCTACTACATCAGATCTTCCTCAGAAGCGCAAATCTTCTGCAATCGAGAAGGCTGAAGGTGAGACATCATCCAGGCAGCTGAGGAAGCGGGTACCTCATAAACAAGTTGATGAGCTGGCAGACGAGGCTAATGATGACAGCTTCACTGCTGAACCTTCTAGTGATTCTAAGATCAATGAAGATGAGGATAATATTGATGAATATAGGGAGCATGAGACATCGCAGAGGAAAAGAGCCCCCAGAAAGTCCAAGAAACCAGTATCTGAAAAAGAACCAGTTCGAAAGCGTAAGAAGACCAAGGAAGCATCTGATCAGTCAACCAAAGACGCTTCCAAAAAGTTCTCCCATTCAACTCGTAGAAACAGAAGACAAGGTAAATGAATATCTGGATATCTAAGATTGTGTGACACAAAATTTGGATGTCCATCATCATTTTAATTTCCTTACCTTTTGTAGTGGACAAGTCTTTGCTTGAAATCCCAGAGGAGGAATTTGACCCCTATAAATTATCTCTCAAGGATCTCATTCGTCTAGCAGAGCATAAGGAGCTGTTAAAGGTACCATCTGGTTTTCGTGGTCAAATTTTCACATGACGAAGTATAATATGGTTTCACTTCCAACATTGACATTGGCTTCTTTGTTTGTTCCTATGGGCAGATTAAGGAGGCAAGAAAATTGACAACTCGACAGCCCAATGAAAGGTACTGGAATTCTTATACAGAAGCCATAAGTGCCAATATCTTTATGTTGATCATACTTGTTTAAGTTATGTAATTTCAAATTCAATATCATTATGTTCCTGGAGATCTTGATGATGGTTGATTGAATTTCTTATCTTTATACACAAAGTAGTGCAAATTTTATGACAAGATCCTTATGTTGAACACATTTAATGCACTCTTAAAATCTGCACTATTTTGTGTGACGAGCTCTAAACACTTGATGTCATTTGTCCAAAGATGGTATTAAGTGAATAGGATGAAGTAGTTGAAAGATGTTTCATTTGTCTCTTGTATAAAATGGCTATCCAAGATGTACTGTTTGAAAGTATCAATTTATTAATATGATGGAATATAATGATTGTGAGTTGGGCCTTCTGATTGAGTATGCTTTCACCAATTGTTAACTTTATTTGGGCCCACTTGAGGCTAGAACAATGTGGCATGGCAGATTTCTTGAATATAATTATGTTTTCTTTCTAGGACAGGAGGGTGGGAGCCTGCTAAGCATAGGGCAATTTTTAGTCTGAAAAATATTTTATGATTCGTAGAACTTTGACTTCGAGTAAAACCTGTTATTTGTGAAGAACTGTTGCCATTGTTGTTGTGGCTTATATTTTAGATCACACACGCACAGAGAGACAGACACATGCACACACACTCACACGACACAAAGGTTGACATGCTTGATTCTGAATAGAGTATCATTTGTATGATTGTTGGAGTCGTATGTAGTCCATTAATCCACATTTCGTATTATTCTTTCCTTGCAGTACGAACAGTGATTCTCACAAGGAAGGTTCTCACAATGAAGAGTTCTATCCTTCAGAACATGGCACTGATGAAAACCAAGCAACTTATCATGTTAATTCCTCTCTCCTCAATTACCAAACTTACATGGACAAAGCACCCACTGCAAGATGGTCTAAGCAGGACACAGAACTGTTCTATGAGGTAACGTACCTATAAATTCACTGCATTTAACTGGTTATCAATTGCAAGTAACTTTGACATACCATATAATTATTATGGAAAAATCTCATATCTTTCTCATTTTGTGGATTGGTCAATCAGCTTAGAACTGGGATTATAGGTTAGTGGTATCTGCAGACTTAGAAGTTAGATGATTAGGTCAATTCATGATCTCCTTGGTCAAATTTATGGATATCATGGGAATTCAAAGAGAATGGTGATAATGGAACCAACACATGGAATCAATCTGTAGATCTCTGCCGATAATTTTTAACTACCCTAGGATGTGCTCATGTTTGGAAATGTTTTCTTTGCTTCCAAATTTTTCTTAAAACTAGATTTCATGCTTGATTAAGCTAATTGTATAATAGGTCAAACAAAATCTGCCCTTCACATGTGATTTAGGCTATTCAGCAGTGTGGATCAGATTTTACTATGATTCAAGAACTTTATTTTCCTGGTCGAACGCGTCATCAAGTCAAGTTAAAATTCAAGAAGGAAGAGCGTCAACATCCATTACGCATCTCAGAAGCCGTACTAAGTCGCTCGACTCATTCCACAGGTCAGTCCTTAATTTTTCTTTTTTTATATATTTACTGTTTTAATCTCTCCCTTTCTTGGGTGGTGGGGTGGAATTAAGAACCGTACCCAAGATCATCGATTGCCTACCTGTACATATGAAATTCTCCCTATTCATTATTTTGTTTAGTCGTATATGAATGGAGATTGGAGTCTATGTGATGAAGGATGCAGGAAAATTGTATATACAGTGGTACAATAAAGTGATTTTCTCATGCAGATCATTCGCAATTTACTTCATATATTGAGAAGCTGCAACAAGCTGCTCAGGCAAACAAGGAATCTAATGCAGATGAGTCAGTTGACATGACAAGCAAGGAGGAAGGACTAAGAGAGCAGACTCGGGATACCGATGTATGCATTTTCTGTGTTTTCTTTGTTTCTCTTCTGCTGAGATGCTAATGTTAGTGTTTGTAGGTATTTATTTTATATTTAGACCTTCATGATGTAATTCTCCAGTGGTAGGTAGGATGTCAAATGGAAGAATTTGCATATGGGAATTGCCGATGATCTAGGATTTATTCATGAAATAAAGGATCTAGATGAAATTTCAAATTGACTGATCTTCGATTATGCAACTTTATTGATTTATGCTTTTTAATCTGTTCATAGAACCAACCTGTTGGATGTGTAATACGGGAACTTGTATGACTCGTTGACATGCCTCTCTTGCCCTTCGACCTCCTCTGTGAAAGGATCATGTATTTGCAATCTTCGTCTAGATTTTTAACTGATGATTGGTGCAGCTTGTGCTCAATTATAAATATAACTTATAATCATTCATGCTTTTCCATCTCTTTCTATTATTTGCCTTTCTTTTCCTTTCTTTTCTTTTTCTTCCTATAAAAAGTAATTTGCTTCTTATTGCTTGCAGGAGCGAATGGAGAAACCCGAGTCGGAAGAAGTTCAAGATCAGGAAGCTGATGTTGCTGAAGTTCAAGATCAAGAAGCTGTTGCTGCTGAAGTTAGCAATCCCTTGAAGTCCGATGAAATTGATGAAGAAGATTTTACATGGTCTGACTGACAAGTGAGGAGTTTTACTTTTCCCTCCCTTATTTTTTCTCTAGCCATTGATGTGTCACTTCCAACGAGAAGATAATGTCCTAACAAAATTTAAGGATATTCAAAACTTCTTGTTGAGAGTGGACCATGGAGCGTGTGGAGATAAAAACGAATACATTATATCAAGAAGCCAACGTAGTTGCAGCTCAAGTTCAACTGGCAAGAATGGGATATCAGATACCTCATCCCCCAAAATCTGGGCACAAAAATAATGTTGCAACAAATTTTTGTATGTAAGTTTGTAACATTGGTTTCGTTATTTAAATATTGATTGCTCTCGTATCTAATTTTCGTTCTCCTAAAGATTTTTGTGAACAAGTATTATAATTAGGCCTGTTAACAGTGTAATGAATATTTATGCTTAGAACTGTCTGTACAAATTCATGCCCAAACCCACAAGAATACTACACTTTACTGTATCATCCGATTTGTATGTTGCTTCATCCGTTAAATGATAGCCTGACAAACGTGGGTCTCGTTGTTAAGAGATGGTTGGTGCCAGCACTGTTTGACATTGCCAAAGATCACAAAATAGCTGTTTATTTGCCCCAAGTGTTCATTAGGTACCTGTTTAATTTCGTCGCATGATAATATTATGTATAATTCATGCAATTGATAATTTTTCTCTCTTAGAAACATTTGTTGGTTTACAAAGATAAACCATTAAAGCATGAATTGTAAAGAAAACCGACAATGTCATTTAAAATAAGTGGTGAATTGTTATGATGGTTCGAGTCTTACTCTTAAATCCATTGAATCTCGGGTTCAGACTCTTCACCTCTTCTTAGTGTAGCTTAGGATAAAAATGTCGGTATTGAAAGAAAAAATAAATATTGACACTTCCTATAACTGAAGAAGCAAATTACTCCTAGTAGCATGCAATCAAAAGACAACCTTGACTTTGAAGTATTTATTCTAGAGAAAATTGTAGCAATGGTTACTCAACTTTAACCCAATTGGAGTAATGTCCTTTAACTAAAAATTCATGACCATTGATTCTATAAATCATCAAAACGTATAGCTATGGTCTTTTTTGTTAACTCGTTCAGAATTCTGCCAAAATGAATTATGTTGGAAGGATCATTACTATACTTGGGTTAAAGTTGAGGGACCATTACTCAAATTGGGTTAAAGTTGCGGGACTATTTCTCTAGTTGGGTTAAAGTTGAGGGATCATTGCTATAATTTTTCTCATTTAGTTTTCTATATTTGCCCCTCGATACAACCTCATGTGCGTGACTCATTTTGATGGAAATTCTTACAGAGTTGAGGAAAATGACCACATCAGCACGTTTTGAGAAGTTAAGGGAACAATGGTCATTAATTTTTAGTTGAGGAACCATTACTCTATTGGGTTAAAATTGAGGAACAATTACTACAATTTCTTCTTTATTCTATATTCTTATTCATTCAGCTGCATCAAAAGTATTCTATAGTCATATTTAATGACTAAGATGTTGGAGAAAGCCAAGACATACTGACCAGCAGCTTGTACTGGTGAGCGGGGTCGACGATTTTCCCCGATGAGGTTGACGCTGTGAAAGAACAATGTCATGGTACAATTGGGAATTTTGTGTTAGAAATGGCGACATTTGTTCAATAGGATAAACAATCCATTATCATTGGCCATCAATCCCTAACCCTTGTGTCAACAAAAGCTTCGAGGACTAACCAAAATTGGCACATAATTTCACCCCTTATGCAATTAGGGAGTTGGATAACTTATTGCTTCCCGTACAAAAATTATAACTTTGGTAGCTACATAATTTTCTATTCCGCATATGGAAATCATAACTTTTAGACAACATTAAAGATCTTTGATTTTGCGAAGATTAAGAGTTTTTCTCTCTTTGTGAAAGCTCTTCTCACCGTGTGTGTTAGTCTTCAGATCAAGGAAATCGTTTTGTCGCTAACCCTTGCTTTTGGCAAGGGTTGGTGACAACCTGGTCCCCTTTCTTTCGTTTCTCTGCGTTTTCTCCCTGTTCTCTAGCCTAATTTTCTCTGACCCCTTTCCCTTCCTTCTTCGCCCTAGATCATAAAGCCCTCTACTCCGATTGTCCCTCTATTTTCTCCGCTATTTGTTTTCACTTCCATGTTTCTAATCAATTCATTTTCTTCCTCTACTTTGTGGAATTTTCATCCCTCCATGTCCTCCATCCCTCATGCTTTTCTATCCTTCTTTTGGTTCCATCATCCCTTGGCCAACTTTCAGATCTATTCCGGCTCTCTTAATCGGGGTTTGTCTCGAATCTACGGGAGGGTGTGTAGAACTTCGGCTCGGGTGCTCGCACCACCACCTTTGTTGGCCTTTGTTGGTCCTGCCCGGTGTTCACCCTTGTCGGCGATGTTGCCCGTGGGAGCTTTATTCTCGCATGCTTCTTTGGTTCTTTATCGGTGCTTGTCGGTGTCGGCACTATTGCTGGTGGGATGTCTCTTCTCATTGGCTTCTTTGGAGTAATGATATAGATCTTTGTGGGGGTGGTGTTAATGGATGGTGGAGTTGTCTTCATCTTCGCTCTTGGGGCTTTATGTGCTTTGATATTTGGTGTCGTTAGGAGGTGCTGGGACATGTTGGTTGGCTATGCTCTGGCGGCATAATAGGGTTTCAACTGCTTAGGTTTTCGGTTGTGTATTTTACTGTTTTGGGCCCTATTCCGTGTGTTGGTTTGGGCTTATTTGTTGTACTACTTTTGAGGCCCTTTATGTGCTTTGTACTTCCTTTGTTTATAGGCCTTCGTTTGTACATTTTGCTCTGTTGCTAATGAAGTTTTAGCTTTGACCCCCTAAAAAAAAAAGAAAAGAGGGAGCTACAAGACCAACGTCGGCACAATAATGTTTTGTTTTTTCATTGTAATAATTTTGTTCGAAGGATTAAATTTAAGCTAAAACAATAAAACAATAAAATTTCCATAATAATTTGGGAAGATCTTTTTTATTAGGGCTAATTGTAGCCAAGGTCCTTGATCTATAACACAAGTTTAATTTTTGTACCTAAATTCTATTAATAGTTTCTTTGGTCCTCAAGTTATGTCATTTGTTCCACTAGTAGTCATTTTCATTAATTCCATCTACTTTTTTTGTTAAATTGAGGGATATAATAAGAATTTCATAAAAAAAAAAAGAAAAAAAAATGAGAGACTTGGCTCCTTAAGAATTGAGGAGGAACTCTTTCTTAAAATACATCGTGACCTATTCAAAGATATTCGTGCTTATGATTGGAACTTCTTAAGGATTGACTAAACGGTCTTGCTTCAAATTGATTTTTCATAGAGATTGTGGATGCAAATTTCCGCCTTCTCCTTTGACGAAAATGCACCTGCAAAGCAATAACATTTAAGATCAAGGCCAAGAGCCTCACACACTCATGATGAATAGGGGGCTTTGGCCGAAAAATCTCCGATACCAAAGTTAGAATTTGAGAGAGAAAGCGGTTAGAGAATTTTAGGGAGAGAATGAACTTAGGTTTTTGGAGAAATGTGGGGCTATATATAAGGGTGTGGCCGACCCTATTTGGAGAAATAGGGACCGCATGTCGCCTCCATAATTTTCTTGATTATTTTTTGCTCCACAAATGCCACCACACCAGTTGGGCTGCTCGCATGAAAGGGCAGCAGGTGTAGAGATCTTCTCTTGTTTTAGGAAACATAGGATTGTTTCCTATTTTGATGTAGATTCCCTCTTTAATTGGAAATTAGATGCTTCTAGGAAAGGGAAATAAATTACTTCTAAAGTCTATTTAAGTCTATTTAAGTTTATTTAAGTCTACCTTAAGTAAATCAACTTCAGAGAGCAATTCATTCTACCCTACAAGAGAGAGAAAGTTAGAGGATATTTGTTCCCATTCCCCTAGTAATCTTCTACACTTGCCCGTGCAAAGGACCGTCTTTTGTTGCTTTCTTCATCTTCACGGTGTACCAAGGTAAGAAAAAAATTAATTTTTCCTCGTCTTCGTAATTTTTGGGAGCCTTAGGGCTTGAAATTTGGCTTGACAGGGGTCGAGAAGGTGTGAAAAATGGCTTGGAGAGGCCATGACACTGTTGTCGTGGGGTATCATTAATTGATTATCCTTTTCTGCTTATGAAGATTCAAAATTCGGTTCAACTCCTAAAACTTCTCCAAATATGAAGAAAGTGCATGTTGCATTAGGTATCCCTTCTTAGTACCATGATTGGTGTTGGCTGCTTTGTTATCTTCGTTGGGAGAAAGGTATGATGCCTCCGATAGAGGAGATAAAATGAATCAAGAACGGAGACATTAGCTCGTCCGATTGTCGTCTTGGAGCCTGTTGTGAATGAAGGTGGAAAAAATAGGTCTTCCCTACCTGCTCAAGAGATGTAGGCTAAGAAAAAGACAAAGACTTCTTCCGCTACTCGTGAGGGTCCGCCTGTTGCTGAGAAGCTTGTGATTGACTTGACTTCTTCTAAGGGGAAGAAAAATGAGGCTGCTAGATCTGAGCCAGTGACACATGTCATGCTAAATGTGGCTAGTACGATTGCTGATAGGATTGCTCAGCGTAGAGGTTCTGTCGTGCCCCTAATGTCAAAATTTATGCCAAAACATCCGTTGGGGATTAAGTCCGGTTCACCTTTGGAGAAACTTGCTACTATGAAGAGCGATAAGGTGGACTCTACTGCCAAATGGCACCAAAACCCATTCCCTTCATTGCTGAGACCCATTCTTGCTAAGGGGGTTGTTTACCCAAGTTCCTTTTGTGAAGCATACAACCGAATATATGAGGACTGCTCAGTATGATGTAGAAAACGACGATTTTGGCAGCCGAATCTATAATCCTTGACCAAAAGGATACCAAGGCTGCCAAAGGGGTGGCAAAGACTATGGCAGCCGAAGCTTATTCCTTAGCTGAGAAGATTAAGAGGTTGGAGTTTCAGCTCGTCGCTTTAAAAGGGTCTAATATCTTTACCCCCACTTCTCTGCAGCTTAAGACCACTCGTCAAAAGATCGTTGATTTGAAGACTAGGCTTGACGCAATCCAAGTTTAGTATGAAAGTTTAGAGAAGGAGATTGGATGTTACATACCTCAGATTAAAGATCTTAAGCGCGCCATTTCTGAGTTTCATTCTGTTGCTTATGCAAAGGATGAAGAGTTGATTGCTGCTTATAATCAAGTGATCCATTTTAAGAATATCGTCGATAGTCTTGAGACCCAAATGTTGGAACTCCAAGGTGTATTGAAGAATAACGAAAGTCTGAAAAAAGAAGTGGATGAGTTACAGCGCATCCGTGTTGTCCTACTTGAGGAGAACGAGCAGCTGAAGGGTGAGAAGGTTGGGCTCAAGGCTTCTCTTGTTCAGAATTAAGCCGATATCTACAAGCTAGGTTACGTAAATCATCTATTTGGTAAGCATTCTGACTTTGAGTTTGTTGGGAAATACTTCAAGACTTTCTCTATTTCTCTGAAAGACATGCTTGCCTTTACTTTTGAGGTTTCCATTGGTGAAGTTTTCAAAAAAGTTGGTGTCTAGGCTG